GTGCCTTCGCAGCAGGTCTTACTACTCCTTTGGACGTTGTGAAGACGCTTCTTCAGACACGTGGGATGGCGCAGAATGAGGAGATTCGATCGGCAAAGGGCCTTTTCAATGCGGCGGCCATCATCAAGCGCCAGTTTGGCTGGAGAGGCTTCCTACGTGGCGCTCGTCCCCGCATTATCTCCACGATGCCCAGCACGGCGATTTGCTGGTACGTTGTTATCCGCGCATGAGCAGGGCTTCAGAGCTAACATCGGCATACAGGACATCGTACGAGATGGCCAAGGCCTACTTCAAACGCCAGGAGTGAGACTTTTGAGCTCCTGCCCGTAACGGTCCTCTCACATAGATTCAATTATACCTAACATTCCTTCGACTTCAATCGATTCCCATCGGCGAGCGTGAAAAGTTAATAGGGGTTCGGACTGAAAAAGTGAAAAAAAAAAAAATCAAAAGCTATATTTCAATGCATATTGCGTAAGAGAAGGGATACCGGAAGAACAGGGAGAGAGCAAACCCACAGGTTGGGAATACCCTGTCCTGGCCTGCCACTGACTGCTTTGCGATGTGTTTCTATATTTCCTCCATATTCCTCCATCTCCTGACTTGTCTTTTCGTCTCCCTCCGACCCTGGTTGCCCACCTCATCTACCGCTTCGCTTTGCGCACCCGCCGCCGAGGCGGTTCTGGATCTCAGGCATCCCCGATGTTTGGACCGCTTCGTGGGAGGATACATTTCTCCGATTCATGTTTATCCGTTCAGATAATGTGTGCATAAGATCTCTTTGGGACGGGTGTTGGTGGGTTTGATATAGAAGGGCTTCTTTCTTCATTGGGAACATACTTGAGGGGCGGCTCCTCTGATGAAATTTCCAAGGCGGAAATGCGAGCTCCTAATTTAGACTGCTCTACTGCTTGACCGATGTATCCTATATTGTGTTGGCGTTGGGCATGCAGGGAAGCTTTCCTTGCGGTTATGATTTGGGACCCTCATTGATCCCAGCACCTAGTTGAATATTTACTCAATAGACGGAACGATTGGCCTAACCTCAAAGTCTACTGACTATAAAATTGATAGAAGAAGATCGAGAAGCTAGCAGATATCTGTCCAGTAATTAAGATATTGTTACTACGATGACAGTCGTAGTATCACCGTGGGGTAGTGTCTTCTCGATCCGGCGGACCAACGACGTCACGCGAGGTGCTTTCTGATGGAAACGAGACGAAAAATCAAATCAGCAATCCCATCATCTTCCAGCAACTCTCTTGTTCGTCTGTTCCTCCCCAGACTCACTGGCCATCGATTCCATCTTCCCCTCCCCTCTGCCAATCCAATTCTTCAACCATTTAGTCCATACGCTACCACGCCACCCGTACCGCCTCTGGACATCCCGACATAGCCCCCCCCTCGGTTCCCGACAACCCTACAATTTCGCCTCCGCACTCCAATTGTGGTCGATCGCATGGCTGGTGCGGGCGGGTCCTGCATTTCCGCCGGCGTGAATGATGCGCTCCAAGCCTGCTGCGTCTTCGCTGCAGAAGACGTACGATGAGTGCTATCTCTCGTGTTCTACGGCTGTATACTTTGAGGGGCAGGTTTGTCGTTCCCCTCCCTTCCCATCTCGGATTTATTCACTCTTATGTCAATTGATATTTCCCTTTTGGCTGAGTACTAATTCGCTCTGATATTCTAGAACAATGAAGATGAAGCATTGAGAGCCTGGCGCTCTGCTCTAGACACAATCTCTTATCACAACGCCTACCGACTGTCGTCGACTTATACACCCAAGAACGAAACGGAAAAAGCGCTTCAAGATTCGATCCGCCAGCTAGAACTCCAGTGCCGAGAACGAGTTGATCTCTTGGAAGCTCTTCGTGAAAGCAGGAAGGAAGCACAGGAGAAGGACAACCCCACCACGAGCAGTGTTAGCCACCGATTCTTCAAAGGCAAATCGGCCTCCAAGGCACCTACTTCGAACACAACCGGTTGGATCGGAAACGGGACGGTACCTCCGGTGGATTATACGGACTTATCTCGCCCGCCGCCGATCCCAGGACGTCCAGCGCCGGTGACACAGGCGAGCTCAGAGTCAGTCATCCAGGACAGCAGCGTTGCGTCTGCGACTAGCTTACCGGCATTACGTATTCCATCGCATTCCTCCGGCAAAAACCAGTCTCGCAACTCGAGTCCCGAGAAACGGAAGACGATGCCTACCACTCTGCGCAAGTCGGACGGCCACAAGAAGCACAGCAAGAACAAGGATGTTCTCCGGCGGAAGGAACTGCGGCCGGCTGCGTCCCAGGCTGCGGGTTTGGCCTGGGGGAACATCTATCGGCTCCCCTCGGCATCTGGCAATCTAGCAAGTGACGCCGCAATAACGTCCTCGCGGCAAAGCATCTCCAGTGACTCCGGGTTCCGGAAAGATTCCGGTCAGTTCAGGTCCCACTCCGGGGATGAGCTTGTTTTGAAGAAAAGTGCGGCAGACGACTCGGATGGCCGGGAGCCTCGACCTGTCCGATCTGCGCGACGAACATACAGTAACTCAACACCGGTGCCGACACTAAAACCAACTCATCACTCCCCGGCTGGGGATGTCCGGCAGCCGTCAGGCAGTCGGAGCAGGACGCTCGCCCAGCCATCGGCCGAGCCTGTTGACATCCCTCGGAGTAGTCCTAGGCCCTCCGTGAGACCCAAACCCGCTGCGCTCAGAGCTTCACCTCAGGGTCCACAATCGAGCGATATTGGCGTAACCTCATCGCCTATCAGAAAAACGAGACCCGAGGCTACAACGAGCATTTCGGACGAACCGCAAAGCAAGGCTACATCAAGGTCTCGGAACAACCCCACATCGACAGGAAAGCCTGTCTCCCGGACTCAAGCTGAGGATTTGAGCCCTGCCATGAGTCAATTGGAGGTATCAGACAGTTCTACTCGACGCAAAACACAGCCGGCGCATACAGTTACACCGCCCTCAAGCGATCAAGAATCGACGGGCCCGAAGTCGATAGATGCCGACGAGGAACTAGAGGAAGAAGACGAAGACGAAGACAGATCTATTACAGACATCATGAACAAACTACCCAAGGGCATTGACCCTAATGCGGCCCGGCAGATCCTCAATGATATCGTAGTTCGAGGGGACGAAGTCCACTGGGATGACATTGCTGGACTGGACGCCGCCAAGAAAGCGCTCAAAGAAGCCGTTGTCTACCCGTTCCTTCGCCCGGATCTCTTCTCTGGGCTTCGCGAACCCGCTCGAGGGATGCTCTTGTTTGGCCCACCGGGAACAGGTAAGACGATGCTCGCGCGAGCGGTAGCCACGGAGTCGAAGTCGACCTTCTTCTCAGTCTCCGCGTCGACATTAACATCCAAGTGGCACGGCGAGAGCGAGAAGCTCGTTCGGGCGCTGTTTGGGCTCGCCAAAGCGTTGGCTCCATCTATCATCTTCGTCGACGAGATCGACTCGCTCCTTTCGTCGCGCTCCTCCGGAACAGAACACGAAGCCTCGCGGCGATCGAAGACCGAGTTCCTTATCCAGTGGTCGGACCTTCAGCGAGCAGCAGCCGGCCGTGAGCCATCAACAAAGAGAAGCAGGGGAGACCCCAGTCGCGTGCTCGTCCTGGCAGCCACCAACGTGCCTTGGGATATAGACGAAGCAGCTCGCCGACGGTTCGTCCGCAGACAGTACATCCCCCTACCCGAGCACCATGTCCGCGACCAACAGCTCCGGAAGCTCCTGAGCCATCAGGTGCACGAACTGGATGACGAGGACATTGAAGTCCTCGTCCATGTCACAGAGGGTAACTCCATCATCTTCCACCAACCCCCCGTTTCCTTGTCTCCCATGCTCACAAGATCAACAAAAAATCACAGGCTTCTCCGGCTCCGACATCACCGCCCTTGCCAAAGACGCCGCCATGGGTCCTCTCCGCAACCTCGGCGAGGCCCTCCTCCACACCCCCATGGACCAAATCCGTCCCATCCGCTTCCAAGACTTCGAAGCCAGTCTCAAATCCATCAGACCCAGCGTCAGCCGCGACGGGTTACGCGAATACGAGGAGTGGGCCAGGAAATTCGGGGAACGCGGCGGCTGACTGATTTTTCTCCTTTTTGCAATTCACACAACATCTGCGTTTCTCTTTTGCGAGTCGTCGTAGGCATATTTGAAGCCTCGAGTCCATCGTACATGTTCCTCGGTCTTTGGTGTTTTCGCACAACTTGTTTCGGCACGGTCTTACTCGGTTGGATTACATGTTATGGTCGGTTGATTGGTTGTTCGTCGTGTTCGGTTGAAGGGGTTTCAGGTGTATAGGTACATACATGGTATTGGTGGCACCGGATGGGCGGGCGCTCTTTTGAGATGACTTTATAGTATACCTGGCGTCCATGGTTCATCCTTGTGATCTCGATGTTAGGAGCATGGATAAGGTAGGATCGGAGTCTCAGTGCTCGTCGTTACATTGAACTTTGCAGCTTTCTATGTTCAATCATCGATATCTAGCGATTCTGCTACTTACTTATACTTACGATAAAGGTAGATACAAAACGATCTTCCACCCACCTAGGTGCAAAAGCAATCTTGGGCAAGTCATCTCAGTGGAGATATCATTTCATTGACAATAGGTATGTAAGCGATAATAGGTATGGCGATAAAGACAAGTACATCACAAAGGGAAATGGTAGGCCAGAGACGGACAATAGAGGACAAAGTGTGCCAGGTCGAGTAATCACGGGTTGACAAGACAAATAGGCGGTGGATCTTGACGACAAGCGACAGGCAAGATGGGGCCAAGATGGAATAAGAAGTAGGCATATCCTGTATATTCACAATGCCATCAAAGTAACGGAACATTCAACAACCCGGCCGAAGAAAAGAAGATCAGTAAGCAGCGAAGGATGCTAAATATGAAGGGAGAAAAACAACCGTGGTATCCCAATCAATGAACTATTTCCTCACACCCAGAGTCGATGGAAAAAATAAACAGCTGTCAACTGTGCGCTCCTTACAAGTCAATCAGGCTGCCACCGGCCTGAGACTGCTGCTGGTAAGGCCGCTGAGTCGCCCAAGGGTTGCTCGAAGATTGAGCAAAGCCTGTCGACTGTGGGACAAATTGCTGCTGGTTATAAAAGGGGTTATTGCCTGTGTGAGTTGCTCGCAGACGATCCAAACCCTGACCGGCAGAGTTGACGAAAGTGCCTGGAGCAGTATGCTGGGCCGGGATACGTAGATCGCCAACGTTGCCGAACGTGTCCTGCCCCTCGCCGGTGGCTAGAAGAACATTGAGACGGGCGTGGTGAGGATTGTTCGTTTGTGGCGGTGTGCTCTTGGGGGGTGCTGGGGCCTGGAAATTGGCGATAGGGTTAGCGGAGGAAGTAAATTGATTGGTTGCTCTTTCTTCCGCGAGCGTGTTAAGCGATTGAAGGCCAGTCGACGTTTGGGGCCGAGTCTGGAATTGAGTGCGGGCAGCAAACGGATTGTTGGACCCGGTAGGCATGGGTTGCAAGGCATTCGCTGTCTGGCCACCGCTCTGGGCCCATGGGTTGTTGCTACCTGCCGGCGAAATATTCTCCTGTGCTTGTTGTTGCTGCTGGTACTGCGGCTGGTACTGCTGCTGCTGCTGCTGCTGGGAAAATACGTCGGTGCCGTACGGATTGTTCGTGGTAAAAGCTGTTTGCTGAGGCTGGAGTGTCGCCTGTGGCTGCAAGAAGTTGTTCTGAAGCTGGCCGTATGGATTCTGATCGAATGCAGCTGGCTGATTTTGGAATCCATTGGTGTATCCATTAGGCATTCCAGTGACCTGGTTCTGAAATCCGGTTGGTTGTGCGTATTGGTTGTTCAAGTAACCGGTAGACAGAGGCTGCTGCGCATTAATGGGGTTGCCAAACCAGTCGACGGCGCCTTGTTGCTGGTAACCTTGGTTATACCCTGTGGGCTGGGCTTGGGCGACGGGAGTATCGTCAAAAAGCGATTGGGCATTGCTCTCTTCCAGCTCCCGCTTCCGCAGTTCCTCTTCTTCCTTGCTCAACTTGATCGCCTTGGCCAGATCCTCATCTTCTTCTCCCATCATGGATTGCTTTTCCCGTCGTCTCCGCTCTTCCTCGGCTTCTGCCTTGCTCGCCTCAATGGCCAGGCGATACTCTATGTCTTCGTCATCGGTCGGTTGGCGACGCTCCCGTCGGTCAGATCGGCGCGAAGGCTCGGGCCCATGGCTCTGGTACTCGTCCAGTCCATTCACCCGAGATTTCCAGAGCTTGCGGTCGGATCGTTCACTGCGCAAACGGTCCTCATCGAGGATGAGAGTGGTAAGTTCCTTGGCCGCAACACGAACTGTATGAGCCAGGAGGTACCAATCCGTTAGCAAATGGGTTACCTGGTCGCGCAAACAATCATCGCAGTACCACCTACCATTCTGGCCAACATCCCTCCCGTCCTCGTCCACGTATTGGAACTCGCGCAGCGTCTTAATGATGTAGACATTCTTTCGGGCCCATGTAACAACTAGCTCAGATCCTTCATGAAGGCAATAATCTAATACCTTCAACGACTTGAGAACATGGCGCCAATTCTTGCCCTTGTCGTTCAGTCGCTTATCGAGCATGTCCATAATCTCGTAGAAATCTGTCGGACTAGCCGTATCCGTCAGCCCTGGATCCGGGTTATGCCGAAGGAAACGGAATCATACCTGCTGAAGGTCATGGCAGCAATCTCTGCCATTTCGGTGCCTGTCGGGCCCCAAGGGTCATTGCTCGTTGCTGAACCAGGTCAGTACGAGTAGAATAAATGAAAACGCACAGACATGTCATGACGACAGGAGTAATAGCATCCTCATGGCGACCCCTCCACACCCGATGGAGGAGAAGAGGCGAAGAGAGGAAAAGCACGAAAAAGGAGCAAATCAAGACGTACCATTTCGAACTTTGACTTGTACTGAAGAGTAACCCTTAGTTACATTCTTCACGCTGCGGACAACTTTCGACATCTTGAATGGTGACTATGTATGAAGGTGAGTTTGGTTCTAGATATTCAACACGAGTGCGGTCTCGATTCTTGCGGGGAAACGAGGCGCCGGGATCGCGAATTGTTCGCCTTTCCGTTGGTCGGGGAAATGGGAACTATTTGATGTCGTATGATGGAAAATTAAGACGATATTGGAGTGTTTTGGAGCGAGACCAAGTAGTTGTTCTTGGATAGCTCGTAAGAGGCAGATGGCGTGGTCGTCGTCGTCTTTCTCCTTAGTCCTTATCGCACGGCCCAAGCAGGACAGCGGTGGTGTATGTAAGCCGCGTGCGGGATTCTAGTCAATGAATGCGTCGCAATTATTATGGCGAGGCGGAGTGCCGGCGCTGGGTCAAAAAGCAGGAAGTGATCGGGTGGCAGATGAAGTTCGTCTGGTGTATATATTATTTGACCTCCAGCGCCTCCGGACGAAGCAGAAAGATGAACGTGGAGGAAGAGAGAAGAGGAAGAGAGAGGGGAGCTGGGCGGGTCGGCAAGTTTGGGCCTTTGGGTTTGGTTCCGGCAAGATTCTGATGACGAATTGGGCGGCGGGTGGCAGTGGCCTCAAGTAGGACTCTATGCACGGCAGGATCAAGAACTCCTTTTCGAGGATGTTGTCAATGCGAGGAATCGGGTGCTTTTGCTTTTGAATTCTGAACAGTGTCAGAATAATCATTGATCACCTTGTGAGGCTTTGTGTTTCAATCCCTACAAGTACTATTGATTGCACAACCCCCACAACAGGAGAAGCAGAAAGGAGGCAATTGATGGATTGATTGACGAGCTCGAACCCTGCACCAAAGTTGAGACGAAAAGTGAAGGACCCAAGAAGCAAAGACTAACCACTGTATACACGAGGTCAAGCACTGCCCATATATCAGTTTGAAGGCGGCAGCACGGAAGTGCGGAGTAAGACCGGGCAGTGGCCAGACAGACTAATTAATATAATTGCTAGTCAGATAGAGGAGTTAAAAGGCAGTGAGATTGGCCTTGGTTACTATCTCCGTATCTACTACTTGATTCTCTCAACTCCCTGGGTTCGTAGCTATTATTGACGAATCCCGTATAGTCATATACAAGGAGTAACTAGTAGCTGGTCAATATCATCTGACTCTCACTGCATAACAACTTTCTATCCTGTGCATGTCATTCCAACTGTTGTATTTGTCACAATATCATTGCCAGCATGGATACCTAATTTCTCATGGGCCGCTACCCAGCCACACCGCAGACTCCGAAGACAAATACATATCGCTCCCAACACCGAGACTGCTATACTTCTCGTGGCAAAACGGCCGCGTACGCCTTGGACTTGGCATCAACCATCATTCAATGAAGAACCACCGAGCCATAGCTGATGCAGTGTTTCTACCTTGGCTCAAAGGATCCTCAACGAACAGTTTTGTTTACTTATATCTACTTTGTGGCGGTGCTTCACATCGTTCGTGATCGTGAAATGAAAGTGAAGATAACCCAAGGATCTCCATTTACGTCATCGTAAGGCCGAGCGGGTTAAGTCCCTGGATTCTGGAAGACTTCCTGAAACGTGTGATGCTGGAAACCTTGGCATATTTTTTCCATGGTAGATCTGTTTACATATCTAGGGTAATCTTGAGCCGGAAGCCGAAGGGATACCAGAGGTGGAAGAAGAAATAAGTCGAATCGGCACTAACGTGCCTGAAACCGTGATCAATTGTATCTACCAATTTATCATATCCGTCTAGTCATCCCACTTTTGAGTAACCATAAATCACATCTCCTCCTACGGCTGTTCCATGCTCAAATATTTGTCCTCGGCACCCTTGATGCACTGGATGTTGGCACCCAGCTTGTTCAACGTCTCGACGTACTCATCATACGGATCCGAGTCAAAGACAATGCCACCGCCGGCTTGCAAATAGGCAACTCCATCCTTGACAAGCATCGTGCGGAGTGCGATGCAGGTGTCCATTGCACCAGGCACCAGGTTCGCCCCGTCAGCACTCGAGCTATCGAATCCGAAGTAGCCCACCGCGCCCGCGTAGACTCCCCGCTTCTCGCCTTCAAGCTCAGCGATCAACTGCATCGCTCGAACCTTGGGGGCACCGGACACAGTCCCCGCAGGGAAGATGGATCGGAACGCATCGAAGCGCGTCTTGTCCGGCCGTAGAATGCCCGACACTTGCGATACAAGATGCTGAACATGTGAGAATTTCTCCACCACCATCAGCCGGTCGACCTGAGTTGTCGTAGGATCACAGACCCGGTTGACATCATTGCGGGCCAAATCAACCAGCATGACGTGCTCGGCGCGGTCCTTCAGACTGCCCCTCAACTCGGCGGCCAGAGCATCGTCCTCCTCGGGAGACTTGCCGCGTTTTACCGTTCCCGCAATGGGGTGGGTGATTATCCTGCCTTTCTCCTCCTTTGCGAGGAGCTCTGGACTCGCTCCGACAAGCTGGAATTCTTCGCAGTCGATATAGAAAAGATAAGGGGATGGATTGACGGTACGCAAATGACGGAAGAGGTTGAAAGGATGCAAGGAAGTGGGCCGTGACAGGCGCTGCGACGGCACGGTCTGGAAGATGTCTCCCTTGGAGATATGCTCCTTCAGTCTGGTCACATGCCGTTCATATCCTTCCCTACCTATGTTGGATGTGTATTCTTGGTTCGGAACGATCGGGCTCTGAGGTGGGAGTGGACATTCTGGCCTCAGCAACAAGTCGATGGTCTGCTGCAGTGTCTCTTGGCCTTTACCGTATTCCGCTTCAAGGTCCGAATCGGTGCTCGGAATAGGAATGTATGTTACAACCTTGATGACCTGAAAGAAATGGTCGAAGGCGACAATGGTCTTGAACATCATAAAAAGCGACTCGGGAATCCCTAGCACGTCCTTGAGTGGTCGAGCCGTTTTGGGCTCAAAGTATCGAACACAGTCATACCCCACATATCCAATAGCTCCTCCGGTGAGCGGTGGGAGTATCAACCCGGGGACTGTGGCAACACGAAACTGCGAAAGCTCTTTTTCAAGGATGGGGAGAGGATCGCATTCGGGACCATGACCTGGCCCGGTCTTGAGAACCTTATACGGTTCTGTGAAGGAACGGCACGAAGACCAGTCAGCGGAACCGCCCAGGCACTTGGAAGGTCTCAGGGAATTAACACCGTACCTGCGCCGACGAAACTATATCTTCCAATTGTCTCAGTAGTAGCAGCACTCTCATAGAGAAATGATAATTTCGATCTACTCATCGATCGAACCACTGTGTCAGCGCTGTCCGTACACCAAACAGTCCAGACGATCCGTGACTCACTTTTCGGCAATCTTCAGGTAAGCCAATGTGGGTGTCAACAGATCGGCTGGTATACTAGCAGTCAACGGGAGTAGATTCGGGGGGTATTTTGTAGTTCTCGAGTTGTTGATCACGTCTCTGGCTGTCTCAAGCGACGGCACAATGGTGGTCTGAGTCATCGGAAAGTCGTTAGCAATTGGCACCGAGCGGGATCGCAAATTGGCCGAAAAGAAGACAAGTGCAAGAAAACTAGTCTGAACGGTATATACTCACTGAGGGTGCCATCCTCTCGGTGATAGTTCTGATGGGTTTGCGTGCCGGAAGGAAAAGGCTCTCTGCGGGGATTTGAAAGTGCTAGCGATGGGGAAAATAATGCGCACGGAGTTAAATCACGGTTCCGCCGATAGTAGGTGGTGGTGGTGGTTATTATGGAGGATGAGTGTGATGAGTAACACGACGTATGCCAGCAACAGCACTTTTCGACAGCTGACACAGATTATCAATGGGTAAGAGAGGTAAGAAAAGATGAGCTGAACCCTTTCGAAGAGTTAATAGGCCCATCCTTGCTTAAATACAACTCTTCAGCTGCCTCGAATATTGGTCCATAGACAGAAAGGTGCTTGGTGGCCCAGAGTGGTCTAGCGTTGACGCACCAGTCTGATAGTATAGAATGATGGAGCCATGTGTTTTTGTGTAGTAATAGACTAATAGATACTAGTAGGTAACTGGGACTACTGACAATTCAGATACTGACCGTCTATTTTTTTACTGCACTTCACATGATCCGCCATATCTCTAAATCCCCTCCCCCTTACTGCGAACTTCTTTCGTCTCCGATGAAGCTCAACTACGACTGAATTTATCCAAGTTCGATTTTTGTCAACACTAGTCGAGTCTCTCTGCCTTCATACCGCATACCTTCCCAAGCATCGCAGGCACCTTTCTGTCTAGGTCAGCGGGCTTGATTCAGGGTATCGATAGGCTTCAAATGTCCTTGTATTCCCCTTGCGTTTTTCGTACGAGAGATCTAGCAATTGGATTGGACCGACGGCAAATACGTATTCCCCTAAGTACGTCTAGACAAAAGTACATGCATACAAACAGCGAATCATAATGCCATGGAGACATCACACCCGATTCCCGATCCCCACGAGTGTGATGCGTATTTGACAGTGAATCACGCCCTTAGTCCCAAGCTTGCGGGAGAGTTCCCTGTGAAAGGATCAACGCCGGTTTCAAACCGCCTGGCAAGATTGGCTTTCTTATCGGAAAATGCGCACTTGTCAGAAGAGCAAAATATTATCCTGAGCGGCTGCCTCGACAGCATTGAATCCATTTTCGATTCACGCACAGGACTGACCCAAGAAATTGCCCAATGCCGTCCCAAAAGTGTCTGCACGGAAGGTGCGAAAGTCGTTACTTCCGATGTTCCAAGCATTCGTCATGATAATACCGATGTTGGAAATTCCGGCACAAAAGAGGCATCTACCAAGGAGCTGACAAGCGTCCTCAGTGAAATCACCGAATTTAGTGAAGAGTTCAAGAAACGCAGAAAAGAGTCGCGGCATATTTATGATCTTTGTAGCCGGGAAATTCGAAGAATGACACGGAGCATATCTGTTCTGGAACACGATGTGCATGAATTGTGAGCAGTACCTTGACTGGAAAATTCTGTCGTACGCCCCGAATTGACCATTCTGATTCCCTTGCA